TGATTTCTTGTAGAGATGAGGTCTGGCCAAGTTGCCCAAGCGGGTCTCGAACCCGCAGGCTCAGGCAATCCACTCACTTCAGCCTCCCAAAGGCGCGGGATTACAAGCTAAGCCACCGAGCCCGGTAAACCTCAAGTTTTGTTTCTAGTTTCTAGTTATATAGGACCATAAGATTCTTACATGTAAGACAAAGGATATGAACATTCTCTCCTCTGTCTTATAACATGGAATACAGATCACACACAGGTCACTTTTCTTCCTTTTATGCTTGCTTTTCCACTTGCTTTTGGAGAAATAAAATAACCTGAGCACAATCCAAGGTCAAACGTTTAAGCTGAGCCTTGCAGAGTTGGTGCTGTTATTCATAACCTATTGGGTTTCAGAATACTCTCCTAATTTCGCTATTCTCTGAACTTTTCTTCCACTTGCCCTAAGTTTCTACTCACCCAACCTTCCCTATCTTACCATGTTCTCTAGAACTCTTCCAATTACATCTCCTATCCCACCTAGAGTGGATTCCATGGCCAATTAATGGAGCACTGTCCTCCCCTGCTCCAGACCCGTTGGCCTTCTTCCACTCCTGCTATTCCAATTCCAAGCCTGAATTCACTCCCAGGACCTCCACTAGCACTGTGGGACTTGGTACCTTTCTGTAGCAGATCAAGGCAGAGGGCTTAGACAGGAAAGTAAAGGCTGAATTCCAGCCTCCCAACCTCCTCAGACGCACAACTATACACAGTGATCCTGATTCCGTCCCTCTCTCTGCTAGGCCTCAAGAACACCCTGGAGAAAGACCTAGAAAGATGCTGTTCAACATGAACTGGCCTCAGCAACTCTTTTATATTCCCTACTCTCCACCCCCATAATGCCTTATACCATCTTGGCACAAGCTGTTGCTGATATTCCAGTCTAACCCAAGAGCCCAGGTCACGCTCACTCGCTCTGTAGGCCTCACCGCAGCAGCTACACACAGGACTGAAGCTGGCTACTGAGCAGTGCTCTCTCAGCTCTCCACAACTTTCCCTCACCACCTTCTCTGTCTCAATTCCCTCAGCCTTTGTCCCATGCTCGTGGGCCTACTTTAAACTCATTTGGCAATCCATTTGGCCTGCCCATGCGTGGGCCACGCCACCAGGCCCCAAAGTACAGCATGAGATTCTTTGGGAAAACGAGGACAAGAAGAATGCAAGACTAGGGAGGGCTGTTGGGAGAGGGAACGGGAGCTCAGGGCCACCCTTTCCCTGCCAGTCCTCATCTCTTAGACTGTCGCCAACAGCCACTTTAAGGCACTCTAACATGGCCACAAAGACAAAGAACGAGGCCCTATGCTCTAGCCCTCTAAATCCATAACCAGCAACACACAATCAATAAAAAAATGATCAGAGTGTTTTTGTTTTTCCACCATAAAAAATTCTCTCAGATAAGACTCAAGAAGATAATACTCTGGTTCACCACTTGGTTTCCTTTGATGAATGCTTATTAAGTGGCCATAATGTACCAGGTCCTGTGCCCAGCACAGCTGCTAGAACTAAATGGGAAAACAGGTGACGGTATTTGGTAAACTGGCAAGAGATCCACATTCATCAGTTCTTATTCTCTCCCCAACCCAACTAGAATAGGAACCTTTTGTGGGCAGAAATTCTATCTTTGCCTGGCACAGAGCAGGTCCTCTGGGAATATCTGTTGAATGACTTCAGCAGTGCATACCTGAGGCTGAGACATTTCTCATCTCCATTCCATTCCCCACCAGCCCTGACACAGGCCTGGACCACCAATGCAGCCTGTGAGCCTCTCTCTCTGACTCCTATGACTTTTATCTCCGCTCCAGAAGATGAACTTATGCGTTATTTTCATATTAGAGAATAATTGCCTGGGATAAAGATAGGCCACGAAGTTAAATGCACAAGTATGCACAAACACACACACACACACACACACACACACACACACACACCACTAAAGAATACTGAAAGTGAACTGAGAAGTCTATTGAAAATATTCCGCCTCCCCAGCAAACTTTCTTTCCAAGGGTCATATTTGCTTAAGGATGTAGGATTGGCCTTCTCTTCCTCCTCTGCCTCATAACAGAAAACAAAGAAAAACAAATTCCTCATAAACAGGCTACTGTTGTTTATGTTGCAGCCACATCTTTGCAGATTCAATTACACCTGCTTTGACATACATACGATCTAGCATGTAAGTAGTGGCTTAACCTTAGTTTCTTCCTCACAGTATCTGAATTGTTTATTTTACATGCCTGTCAGAAGACTTGAACAACTCAAGCTTTTTGGCCAATTAGGTGCAGCCATCAAAATAGTCATAGACAACAAAAGTCTTATAGCTACATGAACTACAATTAATCTCCTGATTTTTTATAGCACTCTAGAATACATCTATTGTGCACTAAAACTGAACGTACTTTAATCTATTGAAATAAATCTCATTATAGTACTGCCCTTTTCTATCTAGGCTTTTGGACTTTCTTTTAAATCTATTTCCCCTTCCATCCACATTATGTGGCTTCCTTCCTTGTTACCCAAAATAACTTCATCAATAAAACGTTAGCATTTTTAAGTGGGTGCTCAATAAACATTTGTTGAATAAATGAGTGAATAATTATAAAATATTGGACAAAAGCTCCCTGAGAGGTTTACAAGAATAATGTGCTTGTATGCTCAGGTACAGACATCAAAATGAAACTTAATTATAGGCATCAAATAGCAGTTAAATATTAATCCATTTCTGTCTTAATAATTCTACTTCAAAATACACAATTTAAACTAAAATAAATATGTGTTGAGATACAGTTCATTTATAATCAAACCACTAGTATTTATACACTTTAAGATTTGAAATATTGGTAAAAGTATTAAAATAGTCAATGTGTTTGTAGTATAAAAGGTCTAAAAGTAAAGAAACATGCATTATCTTACACCTAAATGTTTATTTTTTGAAAAATGTAATCAACACAACATCTTAATCATACCTTTTACAAAAGTTTGCACAAAAACGTGTCAATTACACTCAATTAACAAGGAACATCTTCATGGAGGACTTTTTTCATTTTAAGATATATAACAAGTAGGCCAGAGAGAATCTATTGGTGAGAAACTTTGCCAGGTTTAACAGCTAATATTTATCAAATTTTAAGTCTAATACACACTATAAAATGTAGTTTTATCAATATCGAAAAATTTAATATTTATTAAAGTATATGCTGACATATTTGTTTTTTAAATTCACCTGTTTTGATAACACTATTAGAAAATATTTGGACATAAAATAGTTGATATATAAAATAAGTTTGTTCTTATTGAGTTCGCTGCAAAGAAGTTAAGAAATAAGCTAGCCAATAATTCTTTTAACTTCAAGAAAAAAAAGGGTCTTAAATAAACTAAATAACTTATATATTCAGCAAACCTAAATGACCAGAGGTTATGTGAAATGTTTAAGAAGTAAATGAAGTAAATATAAATCGGCAATAAGACGATCAATATTAAAATGCAGCTCTAATTTAAACTTATTTACTTAACTTTCTTTTTGTTTCATATATTGTTGTTTTTAGTATAGGCATGAATGATCCTGTAATCAATTCAAAAAGGAAGACTGCAGTCATGCAAACATTTCCTTCCCAGTGCCTATCAGCATGTCCTTCATGTCTTGGCGTCCATTTTAGGAGTACCAGCGAGGTAGTGTATAAAGGAGCTTATTAAACAAAGGTTGTCATTTTGGCAACCCACATAAATGTTAAGTGATTTCATTTTATTAGAGATCAAAATATTGATTAGTAAAAAAGTTGAAGAAAATACTTGAGGTTAACTATTCAAACACCTGTATTAGATATCATATATTTTAAAATCGTATTTATATATTAAATGCCATTTTTCAGGGCTGCTGATATGTCACTATAATTTTACAAAAACCATCTCAAACAACTGATCACTTAAGGCGCGCAATAACAGAAAGCTATAGACAGTTCTGTTTTTGTTTTTTTGTCAAAGGATTAACAAATCAATAATTACATACTCAAAACAAAAGCATAGATCCTACAGCAGTTTTTTTACTGCCCAAAATGATTAGTTAATACTTATGTGCATAAATACAATTTTCCTGTATTCTCTCAGTATATAAAATAAAAAGAAAATAAATGATTACAGGAAGTCATAACTCAATCCTACAACTCAAACTGTCTTCTTTAGAAATAGAATACTTACTGACAGTGAGGGTGGTCCACAAAATACATGCCTTACAGTTAGCCTCTCCTACAATAATGCTGATGTTTTAAGAGCAGAACTATCATAATCCAGCCATAATCGGGCCTAATAGGAAGTATTCATTATTAAGAAATTATACATCTAAGTAAAACACCAGGTAGTATCAAAAAGAAAATCGATGAACTTTCTAGGTTTTCCTTTTACTTAAAACATTTTGAGAGAGCCAAGCTACAGTAATCGTTCAATTAACAACTAATCAACTAAAAATAAAGGAATTTTTCTCCAAGTATTTCAAACACAGTTTACCACTTCTTATCCACAAGATTTAAATTTCTATTCTCAACCATTTCCAGCCATTTCTGCCAACATCATAAAAATTACCTTTCATCATTTCCTTCTCACAGTGAGAATTCACTAATCGCATACATCTCTTAGACATAGACACCTCCCCACCCACCTCCCAAAAATGGTTCAGAGCAAAGACACACAAAAAATAATGACCAAGCTCACATTTCTTGTTTGCCCTTCAAGCGAAGTCTGGTGTCTTCAGCTTGCCTTTCTGGTCTTCAGTGTTGTCACTAATTGCTGGGGGATGTAGTTTAGGACAGCATGAAGCAGCAGAAATAAAAGCTGTGGCTTTAAGAAAACGTTCTCTTACACACATGGATAAAACAACTTTTACTCTGACTTCCTGGCTGGGCTGCATAAAATCTTAGAAAGGTTCCTTGAAAAGTTAATGTCTACAATGGGAAAAAAATAAAATAAAATAAAAATCTAAAAACTTACGTTCTGAACACATTCCGAAGGATGTCTGATTTGATTTGAAAGCAGGTTTGTACTGATGAACAAACTTTATTTTGCAGAAAATTAATATTCTCTCTAATTAGAAATTTGCCTTGCCATCTTCTATATTAATCCTGTCTCTCATGGTGTAATCATACATGCAAAAAATCAAATACAGTATTTCCCAAATGCAAGGACACTGTGGAAGCTTCGTTTTGAAAAAGGCTTTTATTTCCCTTAATACTGGTGACTAAACGTCATTGTATGTACCAACACTTTCAAATAGCCCAGGAGACTTAAAAAGCCTTCTAAGTTTGAAAACCAAAAAGTTCTGAGTTTTTCTGTACCCCAGGACGGTTTTCTTTCCTGAAGCTCAAGCCGAGAAAGCAGACAAAAGAAGCTGATTTGACTGAGCTGTGCCAAGTCTTGCCTTTTTTTCTTCCCTCGGCTCTCCCTATGCCTCTCTCTCTCTCCCTCTTTTTCTCTCTCACTCTTTTGCTCCCAGTATGGCAACCTTCCGAGCAGTCTTGGCGGAGGTCCAGGCTGTGCCAGTCTGTCTGAATTCTTGTCTCCAAAAGATGTCCTTTGCGGATCAATTAATACATTTGAAAACAGGAAACCGTGGTACGGTACCCAAATCCTGGCACCAACAGCATCGACTTCTGCCAAATCACCTTACAGATTTCATAGTATCCTACCTTTCATAATCATTACTAACATGTTCCCGGAGCAATAATGGAGTACTAGAAGCCATTCGCTGCTCAGCAATAAGGAATCTGTTCCCTAGAAATGTCCATATGCGACATATGCACAACCTGCAGTAAATCAAAATTCTCCTGTGAGAAGAGATGTATGTAACTTTAATAAGCACCACATACTGTATTTCTTTTTATAAGATTTGCTTTTCCTTGTCCTGCTGCAAAGAATCATGGGAGAAAAAAAGGAGGCATGCAGATTAAAATTAAAACCGTATGCCCAAAAAAGTCATGTTTTATCCTATGGGGAGTGAACATAGTTTTGATTAATCGGTAACTTTCTTTTTAAGGAGACTCTAATATAAACTGCACCTATTCAAAACTTACTGGAGGTGTAGGGAGGGGGTGAGATCTTTTCAAAATAGAAATATCATTACAAAGGGAAAGAAAAACCTAGGGTGGGTTTAGTAAATATGGATTTCATATTTTGACACCTCAAGTTCCAACATAGTCACTTGTTTACTAAATTCATACTAGTACAATTTAGTAAAAAAAAAAAAATAAACATTGCTTATTTTTATTTGCATCATGTGTACCTTTTGAAGCAAAAGAGTCAGTTGCGTTTCACGCATTTACCTGCTTTAAAAAAATCATTTTTACCTGTGATGCTTGAAAACAGAAAACAGCCACACTCTAGAATCACCATGGTTTCATAGAAAGAACCCAGAATACCGAGTGCTCATCCTTGGTTCTGTCACTTTCTAATTTAGGCCACCTCAAGGTCTCAAATTGCTTAAACTGTCTAATCCTCAGACTGCTCATATACCAAATGCAAAACTCAATACTGTCCTACTCTGTGCTCTAAAATATTCTGTTTATACACATAGCATACCTTCATCCTAACTGCAGAGTAGTTAGCGAATCTGTGTACTGTGCTAACCAGATCCATCATCCTCACAGGCAGGACCATGTGTCACTTATCTAAGAAAACTGAAAGTCCAGCACAGAGCCCTCCATATGCACCCATTCAACATATCTATTACGTGAATGAGTTTTGGGAATGAGTCACATAAATATTACTGTGAAGTTCTGTAAAGTAAGAAATATAATAGTGAAAAACAAAACCACATATCATTAAATCATAAATTGATCAAAGAAGTATACAGAGAAAAAAATAAGGATGGAATCAAAGCACTAATAAAAATGTCCCCAGGCTGTCCTTTCAGATGGTGATGATGAGATGTAGGCAGAGTAACAGAGAATGTGTAATTCGTAACCAACCTGTCAACAGCCAAAGACAAAGAGAGAATCCTGAAAACAGCAAGAGAGAGGCAGCTTATCATGTACAAGGGATCCTCAATAAGATAAACAGCTGATTTCCCATTGAAAACCATGGAGGCCAGAAAGCAGTGGGATAACATAGTCAATGCACTGAAAAGGGAAATAAAAAGTTGTCAATCGGGAATTCTATACCAGCAAAACTATTCTTTGAAAATGAAGGCGACATTAGGACATTCCAAATAACCAAAAACGGAGAGTCCATCACTAGCAGATATGCCCTACAAGAAATAATATAGAAACTTTTTCTCTGGCTGAAATGAAAAGACACTGGCAAGTAAATCAAATCCATTTGAAGAAATGCAGAGAACACGTAAAGGTAACTGCAGAACTGAATATCAAAAATGGTATACAAGCTGGGCTCGGTGGCTCAGCCTGTAATCCCATGCCTTTGGGAGGCTGAGGTGAGTGGATCGCCTGAGCCTGTGGGTTCGAGACCCACCTGGGCAGCGAGACCTCATCTCTACAATAAATGAAAAAAATCAGCAAGCCGTGGTAGCGCGCACCTGTAGTTCTAGCTACTTGGAAGGCTGAGGTGGAAGGATCGCCGGAGCCCAGCAGGTCAAGGCTGCGGTGGCTGGGAGCGGCCACTGCACTCTAGTCTGGGCGACAGAGTGAGACTCCAACTCAAAAAAAAAAAAAAAAAAAAAGTGGTATACATGTACTCTTTTTTTCTATCTGATTTAAATGGCAATAACATAAAGCTACAGTTATAAACCTATGTTTATAAGCATACAATGTATGAAGATGTAATTTTTGACAATAAGATGGCAAAGGAGGAACAGAACAGAGCTATACAGAAGCAAAGTTTCTTTACACTGTTGAAATTAAGTTGGTATTAATTCAAATTAGATCATTATAAACAAGATATTAACTGTAATCTCCAGGGAAACCACTAAAAAGTAACTAAATTAAAATGAATGACAAGGGAATTAAAATGTTATTCTAGAAAATATATAACACACAAAAAAAGCAGTAATGGAAGAACAGAGGCACAAAAAAGGGAGATACAGAAATAGCATAATAAGGTTGGACACGGTGGTTCATACCTTTAATTCCAGCACTCTGGGAGGCCAAGGCAGAAGAAGTGCTTAAGTCCAAGAATTCAAGACCAGACCAGGCAACATAGCAAGACTTTGTCTCTATTAAAAAAAATGTTTTAATTAGCTGGGTGTGATGGTGCCTGCCTTGTAGTCCCCACTACTTAGAAGTTCAGGAGGCTGAGGCTGAAGGAACACCTGAGCCCAGGAGGCTGAGGCTGTGGTGAGCCTTGATCGTGCCACTACACTCCATCCTGGGTGACAGAGTGGGACCCCCAACTCAAAAGAGAAAAAAAAAGAAAAGAAATAATACAATAGCCAAAATTTTACCTCATCAGTAATTACATTAAACTTAAATGTACATTAAACTTAAATGAATTAAAAACTCCAATTAAAAAACATAGATTGGCAGAATGGATTAAAATAAAAACCATTATCCAGCATGATAAAAAAAAACAAAAAACTTTAGATTCAAAGACACAAATAAGGTTGAAAGTAAAAGGACAGAAAAATAGATACTATAAGAATGGTAACCAAAAGAGAGCTGGAATGGTTATACTAATATCTGACAAAATAGACTTTAAAACAAAACTAGAGATAAAGGAAGACATTTTATAATGATAAAAAGGTCAATTCATCAAGAAGATACGACCATCATAAATATATAACAACAAAGCCCCAACACATATGAAACAAAAAATGAAATAATTGAAGGGAGAAATAGATAATTCAACAATAATAGTCGAACACTCTAATACCTTACAATCAATAATGGCTAGAACAACTAGACAAAAGATCATCAAGGAAAGAGAAGACTTGGCCAACACTATAAATCAACTGGTCCCAACAGACATCTACAGAACACTCCACTCAATATCAACAGATTGTACATTCTTCTCAAGTACATATGAAACATTCTCTAGCAGAAAATATATCAGGCCATAAAATATGCTTCAATAAAGTCGAAATGATTAAATCATACAAAGTATGTTCTCTGAATGGAACAAAAGTAGAACTCAATACAGAAAAAAATTTTAAATCACAAATATATAGAAATTAAATAATACTCCTAAGTAACTAATGAAGAAATAATAGAGACTAGAGTATAAATAGGTGGAATACAGAATAGGAAAACAGAAATAGAAAATCAGACAAAGGTATTGCAAGAATACTATAGACTCTCACCCCACACCTGCTAGAATGGGTATTATCAAAAAGAAGACAGCAAGTGTTGGCAATGATGTGGAGAAATGGTAACTCTTCCACACTGTTACTGGGAATGTAAATTAATACAGCCATTATAGAAAACAAAAAATTAAAAATAGAACTACCATATGATCTGGCAATCTCACTTCTGGGTATACATCCACAGGAAATTAAATCAGTATGTTGAAGATATATCTGCCCTCCCACGTTCACTGCAGCATTAGCCTTGTCACAATAGCCACTTACTATAGCCTTCCATATGCAGCTATTCAACAAATCTATTAAGTGAATGAGTTAATTGAATTAAAGCACTAACAAAAGTATCCCATGTCATCCTTTCAAATGGAAATGATGAAAAGTGGGCAGAATAACAGTGAATTTGCAATTGATAATCAACCTGTTGATAGCCAAAGACAAAGAGAGAATCTTGAAAATAACAAGAAAGAAGTGGAATGGAATCAACCTACGTGTCAATGGACAGATAAATGAATAAAGAAAACATAATATATACATACACAATGGAATATTATTCAGCCTTTAAAAAGAAGAAAATGCTGTCATTTGCTAAAACATAGATGAACCATAGATGTTAAGTGAAATAAGCCAAGCACAGGAAGACAAACGCCACATGATCTCACTTTTATGTGGAATCTAAAAAGAGTCAAACTCACAGGTGCAAAGAGTAGAATGATGGCTACCAGAGACTGGGCATGGGGTCCAGGGAAGGGTGAGGAAGGGAAGACTGGGAAGATATTGATCAAAGGACTTTAGAAAAGAAGATATAATTTCAATAAATCTATTGTAAAACATGGTGACTACAGTTAATAATAATGTATTGTATACTTGAAAATTGCTGGTAGTCGTTTTTCTCACAACAAAAACATGTGAGACAATGTATATATTAATCAGATTGATTTCGCTATTCCACAATGTATATATATTTCAAAATATCATGTTGTATACCATTAATATATATAACTTTTATTTGTCAATTTTAAAAAGGAATAAATAATAAAATAAAAATAAAAAATAACACTACAGACCAATATCCTTTACGAATATAGATGCAAAAATTCTGAACAAAATCAAATTAAATCCAGCAACATATAAAAAATTATAAATCATGATTAAGTGGAATTTATTCCGGAAATATATGGTTGGTTAGACATCAAAACTCAGTCAATGCAAAATACTATATTAATTTTTTTAAAAAACAGAAACCTTATGATCATCTCTATAAACACAGAAAAGTATCTGACAAAATTCAATTCCTATCATGATCTGGGGAAAAAAACTCAAAAAATCAACAACTAACATCATAGCATACATTTAACCAAAAAGATTTCTCCTTAAGATCAAGAACAAGATAAGGATGTCTGCTCTCACCACTTCTATTCAACCTTGTACTGGAAGTTCTATATGGGACAATTTGGCAAGAAAAAAGTAGAGGGAGAAGGGTAAATCCAAATTTGGAATGAAGAAATAAACCTACTTCTATATTTACAGATGACATGATCTTATATATAAAAATTCTAAGGAATCCACCAAAAACACTATAAAAACTTGTCAATTAGTTCAGATACAAAAATCAACA